CAGGAAGTGGTTGGAGCATTATGGCATAACATGTTTTTTAATGAATTATCGCGTGAACAAACTTTTCCCGTGAGATTTTAATTGCATCTCTGATTGCGAAATTGTGTTTCATTAGCATTAGCATTAATATCGACAATAATTTGCGCACATTTGTAATGGAAACGCGGCTAATACTTGTGACTAAACTGACTCACCAGGCATAAGTTAAAATCAGTGTGTTTTTTCTTATCTTTGGTGTCCGAAATAAATCCTTGAAAGACACTGAAGGTGCTTCCTTCTTTTCCTCCAAAGAAATCATCTGAAATATATTCCAGTAAGATTTTATTATGGCTACTAAGTCATAATAAAACACAGGCAGTACTTCCAAATACCTCTTGAAGATTATGTGGCAAAACTCTATTGTTACATTTCGCCATGTCTGAAGCAACTTTTATGGCCTCTCTGCTTCTTCCTCTAGAAAACAGCCAGCGAGGAGATTCTGGGACAATCCTTGAAAGAAAAATACACCAAACAAAAACAAAAAAAACCTGTATTCAACGTGCTATAAATCTTTGAGCTCCTGTGATGCTTTCTTAATAAATAAATAAATGTCATACCAATAGTAAAAGACAAACAGGAAGCAAGGAAGACTCATAGCCAGCTGCAGGTTCCTCCAGGAGACCAGAGAGTAAGCCAGGCCCGGCAGAATCACCATACCGATGGAGTAGAAACTCCGACCGACCATAGATACAAATTTTCTGTTTTCTGCTCCAAAAAACTCAACCACTGAAAAATATGAGAGCTTTAGACAACAGAGCTATACATTAATGTATTAAAATACAGTCATTTAGTTCTGAACTACATTTAAAATAACCTGAGCTGCTTTGTTGACATCACACTGGACCTAATTTCACTAAAGATAAACTAGAGATGATAGCTCAAGGTGATGCTTGTGAACATTTAGCGCCTACCGAGAACATAAGTGGCTGTCCACGCTCCCTTTCCACAAAATCCCTGCAGAAACCGCAGGAAGAGCAGCAGCGGATACCATGGTGAAAGCATGATCCCAACTCCAGTGAGTCCCAGGCCGAGCATCGAGGCAACGACGCATGGCTTTCTGCCAAACCTGCGAAAAACCCAACGTAGATGTTTGCTGTTGCAGCCCTTCAGAGCTCATTTTAAGACACAATGAAGTAAAAAGTTGGTAGGTGGTGGGGCGAAACGAACCTGTCAGCCACATAGCCAGTCACGAAAGCTCCAGTAAAAAACCCAGAAGCCAGGAACACCTGATTTAGGTCAGCAAGCCAGGCTTTTTCACACACCAGTGAAAACTAAGAGGAAGCAGATCATAACCGGCTTTTACAAATATGATTATGTATCCGTATAAAACTATTATGCAAGTATTCACAAAGTATTGATTTTCTTTTGGCATTTTCTATCAATTTCATTGAGGTTTTAATTGATAGACCAACAAGAAGTTGGGCATTCTTGTGAAAGAGGAGGAAAATGTTGTTTTTCAATGTTTTTTTTTGTTTGTTTGTTTGTTTTTTTTACAAAGAAAACTGAACAGTAAGTGAGTACTTTGTAGAAATAGTTTTTGCTGCAACTACGCAGTATACCCAAAACTTGTACTCGGGTAAAAGTAAAATAGTAGCCGCTAAAGAAATTACTCGAGAATAAAAATTTATTTGGTGAAAAGGCTACTCAGGTATGAGTAATTGATCAAAACATCAATCATTTAAATAGTTAAAAAATATTTCATCAGATGGACCAAAACATAAATATACCAAAAGAAAACAAAACCAAAAAAAAAAAGAAAAATGGTTCTAAATCAATTTATTTTAATATAAAACTTATGAAACTTTACAAGGTGTGTCTGGTGAATTTCAGGTGAAAACAAGCTTGTTCTTCATTTAGTGAAGATTCTCACTGTGGGTAGAAAATATCCAGAAATTTTACTAAAGTAAGAGTAGTGATACTTCACAATAAAATCCCTCGAGTAAAAGTAAAAAGTACAGCACAGTAAAAATCCTCCTAAAAGTAATTTTTTTCCAAAAATGTACTCAGGTACATGTAACTAGTCACTACCCGACTCTGCAAGTATAATAGCAAGTAAGGGGAACCTTACAGGGAGTCACAGCTTCTGTAAAGCACTGCACCATGGCACAATGAGAAAATATTTTCAGATGTAAACTAAAACTTTAGATTTACGGGGGGACAAAAATGCCAACAATTAAAATATTCTCCCAAGGAAACATCTCCAGACAGTTAAGATAAATACCTAAAAGTGTCAGAGGTTTTCTCAGAAAGTTTGTACACTGTTTTATTTTTAGCTGAGGGACAGCTTGGTTCCTGTTGCATGGTCACATGGATATTATGTGGCATTGCAGGCAGACTTCTAAGTAGAGCTAAAGCAGCTCTCATCCACAGGGAACCTTCTAGAGAAACCAAGCTTAGTCTTTCCTGCTGATTTCTGTCTCATAGTTTACATTTCTAAATCTTTTTATTATCAGACAGATAATGTACCAACCTCAGAAACTGTAGTTTTGTGACTCTTATCAAACATCCATCCGTCACACGGCACAGCATGGGATCCGTTTAAAGTCAGCTCCTGCTCAAACGCCTCGCATCTGTTCCAGCTTTGGCTCCAGTTCACGGCAAACGTTTGGCAGCGGCTGAAGGATCCGGCCTCTTCGCCGTGGGGAACGGTAACTTCTCGCACCTTGACCTCTGTCCAGCCGCACTCCTGCAGGAGCTGCTCGGACCCGGGGCTCCAGCACCAGTGGTCCGGAGTGTGGCCCAGGAAGACGACTCCAACAAACACGAACGGAATGAAGACCAATGGCAGAGACCCAAGTATGACCATCTTCTTCTGGAAGGGTCCAAAGTCTCCTATGTGCTCCAGAAGTTTGTCCACATTGGCCATGCGTGCCAGTTTCTCTGCGTGGCACCAACTGGGTCTGCTGGAGCTGCCGCACTCTGACAAGGCCAAGCAAGAGTCAGGTTTTTAAATAGACGAGAGAACAACCAGTGGTTGATCAAAATCTCTTGATCTTTCTAAGTATCTCCTGGGCTACTGGTTATCTTTTCCAGAAACTAAGTGAGGAAGCTTTGAATTTCATAAAAAGCAGCTTTATCAAAGAATCCAAGCCTCTGGGCCTCTGGGCAGGACTGCGGCAGAGCAGTTTGCTTGTTCTGTACACAATATTTAACTGGTTTCCAAAAGAGTTGACCACCAGGGGGGAACGATTACAATGCACATTAAAAATATGAAGTTGCTTCTCTGCTGGTCAGAGTTGATGAAGAGATGGATAGAGCTAATAAGGGAGAAAACTTGTCAGAAAATACAGAAGATTTCATACTGGGGAAAGCACTGACCTTCCACTTCTCCTTCCCGCAGGAGCTACAATGTATTGGTATAGATCAAAGCATTATTAGAAGGGCCTAGTCAAAGTCCAGACAGAAAGCCGATGACTCCTGATCAAGCCTGGGTGAACTTGAGCCGTTTTACCCAGAAGAATTAGAGTTAAAAAAAATAATAAAAAATTCAAACGGTGACGTTCATGGCTCCACATTGCAAAACCACAAAATCTTACAAAATCCAATCCACTTTTTAGTGCAAACATCTTAGTACACTTGAAATAAAACAAAACCAACTTACAGGTAACTTTTTTTAAAGATATTGGAGCGTGTTTTAGGTAAATCATTCCTTAATATTGCTGAAAGAGTACAAGTTCCACTCTATTTCACTTACAGCTAGTACTTTTTCATTGGTTTTAAGGATTTATTGACATAAAACGAGCAAATATATCTTGCTGGAAAGTTACTTGTATGTTTAATTTAATTTCAAGTGTTCTGATACATTTGCATTGGAAACTAGACCAAAAATACTTAGGATTTTGTGTTTTTGCAGTGTAAGTTAGAAAAAAACTGAAACATTTCTAGGGGTGTGAATATATTTTTCGAGGTAAGAGGAAGCAACAATTTATTTATAAAGTGACCGTCAGAAGCTGGTCCACTTCTTTATGAGGTCAGAACATGTAAACATGCAGACCGGAGTAGCACCAGCGATGTCTTTCTACCTCTACCAAAAAGATATTCCTGCAGTGTCACTTTCTGCAAAGAACAAAGCGGACATGAAATACTGCCGTTCAGAAATGGACGGCACACCTATCCGTACCGAGGCACATTTAATCAGACTCACGCTCCTGTCTGGGCGATGATAAGTGGCGATTTCGATTTAAAAAAAAAAAAAGACCGCTTAGCTGAAGGTTTCCGTCCAGCGTTTTCACACTTCGCGGTAAGTAGTCATAATTCATTGCCTCTCTGCACCTGGGCCACGTTAGCTGCACCCAATAAAAGCTAATAAAGCTTCACCTTTCTGACAGCAGCCTTGATGTTACGGGGCTTTTTTTCTTTTCTCAAAACATATTTTAATAACTCGCCCTTAGCTGTCGAAATTTCCCCACTGCTTCCCGCAAAGCAACGCAGCTGGAAGCAATTTTTATTAGCATCAAAATGAAAGAGTAAAGGTTTCAACTTGCTTTAGCTAAATGAGCTAAAGCTAAATTAGCTATGTCAAACATGACTAGAGGAAGCATGTATTTGATTTCACACTCAAGAGATTCGATTATGATACTAATATGACTTATTATTTTATCCCAATTTTGGGCCTAAGAGTTGGTTTCAAATGGCAGCTAGTGTAAAGTTTAAAGTTTTCTGGTTCTTTAAATCTCTGCCTTTAGTCACCATAAGGCATTAAGTGATTGATTCAAGTTCATTTGAGCTAGTCTCTTTGTATTTCCCTCAGTTTTCCCTATTTACTTTCATGTTTTTTTTAAACTTATTCTTTCTAGCATGTTTTCTTTCTAATGCCTCATGTAATGTAATTTACCAAAAAAAAAAACAAAAAAAAAAAACCACACAAAACGCAATTAGCAGTCTTTTTTTTGACACAATTGTAAACTACTTTGTATATTTTTTTAATCCAGCTGTAAAAATCCACACTTCATTCTCTAAATGTGTCTTTATCTTCAATTTAGATTTGTCAATAAAACACTTGGTGGTAATGTTTGCTGTGACTATTAGAAATAGTTGTCAATTGTGCCGTAAGTCATAAAAATTGGTGTACAAGGAATTCATAAGGTGTAGTAGTTTTTGTTAATGTTTTGAAATATGTTATAGAAATCAAAAATTAAGAAAACATTTAACATTTCACATTGTTTCACATGAAAATGCAAAATTGTACTAATGAATCAGCATTTTTGTCTATAGGATAATTTGCAGTAAAGAAAAATAAAGACATAAACAGCTTTACACATATAAAAAAACACCCTGTTACAAACTTGACTGGTTTAGCTTTGTCTGCATTTTCTGACTAATGATCTCCTTTCAAAAACCAGTTTGACACAAAATACATGCATTTAGACTCTGATGTGTACTGACTGACAGGCCTCCTGCGTCCACCAATCAAGCTGCCCCCATAAATTGGCAGCCAACTGCAGAACACTGTGTCCGCCGTCTATTTTTATGTGCGCTTGTCTGGCCTCACAAAACGCTGCCCGCCTACCTTCCTTGCTCTCTTTCTCAGCGAGGTCCAGCAGAGCTCTGCTGCTTTCAACAAAACATGTGAGCGTCTTGGCATAAGAAACTAGTCGTGTACTTTTTAAAATGTGGCACTTTAAAGAGATACGCAACTTTTTACACTTCAAATGTCCTCAAGAGGCCAGTCTGTGAAAAACTGCATAACACGTTTTTAATAATTATTTAACTTCCCTGAAACATTTTTTGATAAATTAGAAAATGCATGCTTAGCTCAAGGTCATTGTGATGCTATGACCTCTACGTTCACCAGTTCTCAATCCAACAGAGCGTCTTTGGGGTGAGGTAGAATGAAAGATTGATGTCATGAATGTGCAGCCAACAAATCACGTCAATATGGACCAAAATCTCAGAGGAATGTCTCTGCCACTTTGTTGACTCTATGCCACAAAGACTTGAGGCAGTTCTGAAGGTCTAATTGTGCGCTCACACCAAAAGCGTTACTGTGTCAAAAAGACGTCTGACACTTCAAATTCGATGCGTCTGCAATTTGAATGCAGACGCTTTTCATTTTGTTCTAGACCTATTGCTTCACCTGTCTGGTTTACGTTCAAAAAATATGTGGAGGTGCCTCAAGAGCACGTCAGATGCGTTAGCTCTAGCTGATGTTTTCCATTGGACGCTCTTGACGTTTCAGTCGCTCAGAGCGCGCCGCAACGGCCCTCGACGCACCTCCACATAGACTTTGAATGTAAACCAGACGCGCCTGATGCTCAAAACGCTTTAGGTGTGAACGCACCATAAGGGTCTTCCCTGCAGTACTGTCTACCTAATACCCAACGAGAGTTCATGCTTTGGTGGTATTCTTTAGTTGTGCCGACGTACAGACTCTTTAGCCCTTTTTAGCCATATGTAGACAGCTGTTTCTGTTCCAAACATGAGAGACATCTAGAGACCAGAAAGTTGGGCATCTCTCATTAGGCCACAGAACGAGAGATGCCCAACTTTTTGGTTTCTAGGTGGGTTTTGGGCATCTCTCCCTTTTGCAGTTCTAGGAGTTTTAATCTCACTTTTCTTCATGAAAAGTTCTGAATGTTGGCCTAAAAACAAAGGCTCATTCTATTCTTAACAATGCTTAAAACTCCACGTGTATAATTCTCTTGTGGTAAAATCTAAAAGCAACCTCAACCTTTACACATGGCATGATGAACGGACAATAAAGACAAAGCTCACGTTGGGGTTTTTTTATTAATATTTTTTGTATTCTGACATGCAGCGGGTTTTGTGTCGCAGCGGTTTCTGCATTAATCAACTGACTCCATCTCCCGATCTCGCTGTTCTTGATTTTGATCCTCGTGGACGTCCTGGTGTTTGCTCTCCTCTCCCTGCTTCTCCTCTGGCCCTTCGATGCCCTCGGAGAGTCCATGTGACTGACTATCTGCTGATTCTGTGGGTGTCGTGTGAGATATTGTGAAAGAACCAGCGATCTCTTTCAGTAGAGCCTGCTCAGCCTTCAGTTTAGCCAGTGCCTCGGTTAGCGGAGTTGTTTGCACTGGTGATTCAGCAGAGGCGGGGTTTCCTGTGTCCTGAGCTGGATGATCCTCTTTTTGATCTGTAGCAGCCTCCGGCACATCACCGCCTTCCTTCTGCGCTTGCTCATCAGTGTGTTTGTCTGGTTGAGCTCCCTGTACCTGCTTAGATAGGTTCTTCCTTTGCTCCTGTAAAGCCCTGCAAAGACTCTCGAGCTTCTGGTTCTTGATAGTGAGAAGCTCAAACTCCTTTTCCTTGATGGTTCTCTGTTGAGATGACACAGACAAAACTCTTGCAGTTCTCTCTAACTGAGGTATTTTCTTACATTACAACAACAAACATCAATGTTTTTATTGAAAATGTATGTGCTAGGCCAAAGACCATCCCAAAGGCGCATGAGACCCTGAGCAGCATTTTATTTCAGGGCCGCTGCTGGCAAAGTTTATCTCAATTATGCTACGTTACATTTGTCTGGGAAGTCGGACGTCAGATCAGGGAATAACGTCACACCAGAGTTGAACAATTTCCTTTTGCAAGTTGGAAATTGGCGGAATTTGCTGATTTTTATGTTGCTAACTTAGCCTGGTAAAAAGCCACCCCGTATGCTGTGCTTTACTTCATACAGAGGATCTGGACCCTTAGCTATTGAGACACAATTGCTTCCTGGAGTTGTGGTCTCTTGAAGTGTTATGGTGTGTTCACGCCAAATGTGTTTTAATCGTCAAGCGGGTCTGGTTTACATTCAAAGTCTATGTGGAGTTGCGTCAAGACCATTGTGGCACGTTTTGAGCGTCTAGCACAGCGTGATTTGAACCGCTTAGAGCGTCCAACGGAAAACAACGGCTAGACGGCTATCCCACATGTCTGACGTGCCTCCACTTAGACTTTGAATATAAACCAGATGCGCAAAACGCTACGTGTAGAGCGAAATGTCAAGCTTCTGCATTCAATGTGCACAAGTCGAACTGGTTTTTGACGGGCGCAACACGTTTGGTGTGAACGCACCATTAGACTTTACCCAATCGCCAACATTTGTCCGTGATGCTTACCGGAAATTGCTTGCGCTGTAAACAACCAGCTGAGGTAGATTATTAAGTAAATATTTCAAACACTGATTGTTAACAGACTTTCAAATTATGAAGGCTTTGGTTTGTTAGTATACAACTGGTGCACTTGTTGACCTGTACCACCTAAACGTGCTGTTGTGTCAGCAGGGGGCGCTAAACATTCTCAGAGCTCGAGTCTACCGCAGGCCGCCTTGTTAACAGTGGGGATGATGGTAGCAGGTGTTTTCCGTTTGGTTTATCACTTAACCTGTCTGATGTGTTAGGGGAGGTAGTGTTGGTCTATAAAATCCTTATAATACACTCAAGTTTGTTGAAAATTGTTGCTTACATCAGCCACCATGTCAATGAGATTCTTGTTACAGCTGTCAAAGCGCGTCTTCCATGAATGGCACTCTTTCTCCAGCTTCTTCATTTTCTTGGCCATCTAAACAATACAAATATAGCACACTGCTAAACACTTTTCTTGTTTCTAAAAATCTGGGCGGATCATTCTATTTTTGCTTTGCAAGTGACGGGAACTAGAAGGAAACATTACAAAAAGCCGTTCTTACTTTGTCCATGTCCTGTTTGAAGCCGCTGTAGACGCTGTTGCTCTTCGACACCGTACCTTGGAATTCGTCGAACTTTTTGGAGTACATGTC